AGCGCTCGACCATGACATTCTTACATAATGAAAAAGATTCCACAATGGATAACTTTTCACGTTCTCATGAACGCTAAAGCATAACTGCTAGCCTTTACATTTAAACGCCAAAAATAAAAAAAATAAATCAGTAATGGATAGCTATACACAGTTTTTACAGCACCAGTTGCACCCCTAATGATAATCTCAGAAAGAGATGGAAAGTGCTTGGGCAATAAAAGTGATTTTAACGGTTACAGTGCATTTCTTGCCTCATTTGATTGTAATATACGGAAAAATATTCGTGAATATGAAAGGATTATCATCAAAATTAGCAGACATAATGTTTGTAATTTATTCAATCAGACATGCCTAAAAGATAATTTGATGCCTAAATACACACACACACACACACACACACACACACACACACACACACACACACACACACACACACACACACATATATATATATTAAGAAATGGACAAGGTCCGACAATTTATTTATTAAAGACATTTTTTATGTTTAACGTTGTTATTTATAGATACAAGTATTTAAGCAAATGCTCTGTTTATGATAAACAGTATTAAATAACATTTACCGGCCTTCTATGAACATTTCTCGGACATTCAGGCCGGTAAATGTTATTTAATACTGTTTATCATAAACAGAGCATTTGCTTAAATACTTGTATCTATAAATAACAACGTTAAACATAAAAATGTCTTACACACACACACACACACACACACACACACACACACATATATATATATATGGATTTTGAAATTAATTTCAATTATTCACAAATTTATTACTAAGTTATAAAAATTGTTAGCATGCAAAGAAAAAAAAATTGTCGCAAAACATTATGTAAAAAATCGCGGGAAACAAACATAGTAATGAAAACTACGAAATCCAAAATTTCAAGAGTGTGGCTCCGGATCCGGTCTGGAATGTCTTTAATTAGTTCACGGAGTCGGCCTGGTTCCAAAATGGTATGATGTGTTGGGCTACGGCCTCTATGAAAAAAAAGTTGAAAAAGTGTGACACAGTGACACACTGATATTCACATTTATCATACAGGTTTAGTTGTCATGATATGAGAGCTAAATAATATTTTGGGATAATCTTAGAATTTTCAGTTGCTCTAGCAGCTTTCATCAGTGCTTGATTTTTCTTTTCTTTTTCTTTCTTTTTAAATTTTAACTGGTGTTAAATTTGAAACCCAGTGGACGTTAATGACATTACTGCAAGAATTACCAATCTTTTGGCCATGGAATCTGATAAGTATTTTTGATTGTTTCTTCCTTGTCTCTCATGCCGTCGAATGGCGCCTACTCTAAGGACGGGGGTGTAGCTAAAAAAGATTTTCCACTTTGTTTTATTCGTACGTGTATATGCAAGAATATCAAATAAATATGAAATAATAATGATTGACGTTAGTTTCCAATAATTTTCAAGCTCGTGAGTCATGAAAAGAAAAGACACAGAATCTGACAATGATAAATATTTCGACAGTATGTCTGTCTTTTTTAAGTCATGTTTTAAAAATTGTATGCACGTATTAAAATATAAAAACTCTACAAAGAATAAATTACAGTTGATAGTAAAGGTGCGTATTATAAATAGGCTTAAACAAAAATAGTTTTTTGTTATTGATTAATAAAAAGTGTACATAAAAAATACATATTATAACAGTCTAAGTTTCTGTATTACACTTGCTTTTAAGAGAAGTTTTTAAAAAATCCAGTAAATAAAAGATTAACTAACTTGATGTGAAACATTTTAAACTTTATAAAAATCAATTGTCTCGAAAAAGAATCGGTCAGAGATACGCGGTTTGTTCTAATTTTCAAATTCAAAAAGATATACCGTAATTTCTCGAAAATAATACGTATTTTTTTTTACTGTAAATTACAGGTGATAGTAGGGGTGCGTATTATAAATAGGCTTAAACAAAAATAGTTTTTCGTTATTGATTTATAATAATAAATACGTACTTGTTGTTCTAAAATAAGAAAGATATTATCCCAATTTTCATTTTAAATCCAACAATAATAATTGTAACATTTTTGTCAATAAATTATGTTTATCATTAACCGCATTTTTATTTCCAATACAGCCTAAAGTATAGTTGTGTTTTTTTTTATTAGCTGAATAGCAAAACGCTGAAAATTCAAAGCTTATCTTCGTAGTCATCAGGCAAACACTGGGTTTTGGGTGTTCTTGTCCTAATAAGATATATCAAACCTCTTCATAAAAAGAAAACAGCAATTTTCTGAAGCTTTAAATGTGTTTTCATTTTCATAAGTTCTTTTGCCTTCATCCTTATTTCCACAGTACTTATGGAACATCCACTTGATCGTTTTTCTTTCACAAATTGAATTAAACTTTGTTCCATATCTGTATATTAAGCTTTTCTTCCTCTAGCTATAGCTTTGGCACTTAATTTACACTTTTTTTTAGTTCATTTTTATTTTTTCTCCATAAACGCCGTTTGTCTTGGGGAAACGGTTGTACTGGTAATCAATGTGTTAAAATTAATGACGCGCAGCCGGCGTGGAGGTCATGTAACTGAATCGTGCGTAATATGCTGGCAATCATGTTCATCTTGGAATTATCTGTTAGATGATTAGTTACAAAGAGGAATTAATCGAACAGTGCAAATCATATGGAATTCCCCTGACATTCTGTTTATTCTCATTGGACAGGAAGTAAGTAGTTTGCATACGTAACTATCCTCATGCGTCAAGTGTCGTAAGGTCGTTAGATTCTGAATATTCTTTTCGGATGTTCGTTGAAAATACAGTCGTATGTCCCGCAAGCTTCGTTGATATCACATTATTGCGTCTGACATGATACGTGTGGCCATTGAATATTTTATTCAATTTTTCCGTTGTGAAATCGGAATCAGTACAATTGTCACCTAAAACTCAGGACAGAGGAAGACAGGCATACTGTCGAAATATTGTTGAACATTGTCAAACACGGTGTTTTTTTTTAAATTTCTTTTTCTTTTCTCAAATTCGCTCTTCTCTAACTGTTGTTAACAAATAATATTGACAATTAAATGTTGTTAACAATAACAGTGACAACAGCAACAAAATAATAATAATAATAATGGCAGTCTTTCTTATCAAATTGCAAATTGAATGATGTCCTGAACAGTACTTTCATATACATTTTTTTTCCTGCACTAATGCAGAATGTTTCCCCAGGTCTCTATCCTTAGACTTATGTTGTTTCGAATTTTCATCAATGACCTGACTGATTGCATCAGTTCTCAATTCTGTATCTATGCCGATGATACAAATGTTTACTCCTATCTTAATAGTAAGTCTGATCACTCCTCGGAGGTCAAATTAGCAGCTGATCTCAAAAATGACCTACAATCTGTTGTTAACTGGTGTAAAGAATAGCTTGTTAATTTTAGCGCTTCCCAAACGAAATTGCTCTCTATCAATCATATGAGAGTTCCGTTTCTGCTTTCCATCGCCATGGCTGATGCTAACCTCCAGGAGAGTGACTCGTTGCTCCTTCTATGACTAAAATTTTCCGCTGACATGAAGTAAAAAGATTATATTGAATCAATTACGAGGGCTACCACTATGAAACTTGATTTAATGTGTCATGCTAGACAATTTTTGTCTCCCGAATTTGTCTTACAAATTTATGTCTATCATTCGTCTATCCATTAGATACTGCAGCCACATCTGGTCTGGTAATCCTGTTATACCTTTAACGATTCTTGATAAACTACAAAGAAGAATCTGCAATGTTATTCGTCCTGACCTGGTATCCCGCCATCAGTCATTTTGCAACTGCTGTAATGTAGCTTTCCTGTGACTTTACTGTAAATATTTTCATGGTAATTGTTCTGATGAACTTCTATGATACTTAGACTTTATGAATTTAAGAGTAATACTAGATTGGCAACAAGGTTTCACCAGTTTACAAATCTATTGCCGAGATGTCACCGTAAATTCTATGTGAACGTTTTCTACTATCGCACTTCTCGCTTGTGAAATTCACTTCTAGCTTCCCGTAACCAGATGCACGCTAACTAAAAAAGTCCTTTTCTAAAAAAAAGGAGGTTTTGTAATCGTTGAAGAGCGACGTCAGAAAAGGACAATTTATCGCATATCGTTGTTGTTGGCGAGGATTGTTGGCTGGCGTATTGGCCTATGACGAGGTGAAGCTACGGTTGATGATGGTTAGGATTAGCTGGAACTGCTGATGGTTAGAGCCGTGTACTGACTGGCTGCTGCTGCTGGAACAGATACTACATTTTGATCTTCGTCATCGTTGAGGCTTTTCTTGAATCGGTTAAGCTTCATTCGTTTTTGTTTTTTGTTTTTTTTTTAAAAAAAAAAACATGTAAGGGTACCGACAGGATACGACATTCTCATATATCAATCACAGCGGCTTATCTTTTGTTACTTCTCAGGAGTTGTTGATTTTTCCAAACTATAAATCTTTATTTATTTCTCATCTGTCTAAGGAATCTATTTAACAGCCTACTTTTGTTCTTCCCTGGTCTGACAACCATTTATACTTATGTACGATGTGCCCAAACCACCCATTTCCTTTTCGTCTCTTTATCTGTTTTACTATCGCTCTGTTCAGTTTTTATTCACGACAATCAACAAGAAAGCGGCGTAGAATATGTCCCCTTATGTACCTGCCAGATTTGACAAAGTAATTCAGCATCTCCACATTTACTGGCTGACCTCATACCTAAGTAAAATCTATGTTCCAGCGAGAGAAGAAGATTTTCTTTCTGTTCTTTCTAGCTTTGTATATGAAGCCGCAAGATTATATTCTTGTGTCATCACGTTCTACATGAAACCTACAAAATGTCGCTGGCTTGGCGTCTTTCTCGTCCTCTATTAAAAGCTACGGCTTAATGGAAATTATTGATGAGTAACTCGCACCTTTTGAATTGGGATAAATCTTTTAAGCGCCGCTTTATGTAGGACTTTCTACTCTGGCTTCTTTCCTTTTTTTCTGATTTCATATGGGTTTATTTATTTTGTTTATTGCGTTTTTTTTCTCTCTCTTTACAAATTCAATCTTATCTATCTATCTATCTATCTATCTATCTATCTATCTATCTATCTATCATCTATCTATCTATCTATCTATCTATCTATTCCAGTTTCTTTCTATCTATCTATCTATCCCAATTTCTTTCTTTCGTTCTTTCTATCTATCTATCTATTCCAGTTTCTATCTATCTATCTATCTATCTATCTATCTATCTATCTATCTATCTATCTATCTATCTATCTATCTATCTATTCCAGTTTCTTTCTTTCTATCTATCTATTGCAGTTTCTTTCTTTCTATCTATCCCAATATCTTTCTATCTATCTATCCCAATTTCTATCTATCTATCTATCTATCTATCTATCTATCTATCTATCTATCTATCTATCTATTCATCTATTCCAGTTTCTTTCTTTCTATCTATCTATCTATTCCAGTTTCTTTCTTTCTATCTATCCCAATATCTTTCTATCTATCTATCTATCTATCTATCTATCTATCTATCTATCTATCTATCTATCCCAATTTCTTTCTATCTATCTATCTATCTATCTATCTATCTATCTATCTATCTATCTATCTATCTATCTATCCTAGTTTCTTTCTATCTATCTATCTATCTATTCTAGTTTATTTCTATCTATCTATCTATCTATCTATTACAGTTTCTTTCTTTCTTTCTAACCCCCTCCTCTCTCTCTCTCTCTTTCTCTATCTATCTCATACATACTTATCCATTGGTCCGCGCTTTGAATTTTTGGTCTCTTCCACCGAAAAGCAATTATCCTTATAAATTCCCTGGACTCTAATTAAATTCTCGTTTTCCATTCCGAAACGCTTCTAATTAACTGTGTCAGCTCCAACGTAGCACAAGTACAACTAGAATTGATCACTACGTTTCGCTTGGACAGCAAAAATGTAAAATAAATGTCTGCAGTAGGCTAAAATTTTCCTTTCGCTTTTATCCTAGTTGTTACGCGACCAAACTGATTACAATTAACGAAAATACAAAGAAAAAAGTGAAAACCTCAAATTTGAAGATTACTTTTAAAAAAGAAATGACTTTTCTATCAGACAGAGTTTTACTTGCGCGCCATACAACATCACGTGACGCCAAGAAGTTTCTCTCTAGATAACTAAGTAAGTGCCTAAGTTCTCCTTGGCATTTCAAGACAAACATTTGATGGTCGTTAAAGTGTAAGCCTAAGTTCTTTTCTTTGATTCGAGCGGAATTTGACATTTTCTTTTTGGATAGAAGTTTTTCGACATCTGTGTCATCATTGAAGTGATAAATAACACTTTGCCTTCCTTTAACGCAAAACTGAACTTTTAGCGTTAACTCTTGTAAATACAAATAAACTTGGCCGTATTGAAAATATTATTGAAGACAGTGTTTACTCGACTTTACTTTCAGAAGTTATAAAACGAATATTTTAACATTTGTGTCCCTTTAAAATGAGATTGAACTTTTAATAGCAACATATTTAAAAACAAAGAAATATATATCCCAAACGAACTTGGAATAAATAGCAGTGTACTGTTTATGAAAGTTTAGAAACGTTAAGTTGAAGAATTTTTAATGTTCTCTGTAAATAAAACGATTGCTAAATTAAGTTGTTTTGGCAGACGCTCAGAAACCAGGGTCTGCCTTGTAGAGCCTTTTTTTTTTTATTTTCCACTAGTGCGTTCCCTACACGCCTGTGTTCCTCTCGGCAATGTTAACACCAGAGGACTGTTAGAAACCCACCAGAGGAGCGCTGGCGTTGGCTTCGGCGGCCAGCCAGCGGGCCACTAGAGGCTTGAGTGTAGGGTTGCTTTGTGTTTGGAACCAGATTCAAAGTTAGTCAAATGCGCTCACATTGGTCTTCATTTGACCTTGCGCAAAGCAACTAGTCTAAAGAAATGGCAACCCACTGCGGAATAATATCAGCCAATCAGTCATGTATCGAAAGGTACATGATCGTCTAAGCTTGTATCACGCATGGCACATAACTGACTGATGCTAAACGAATTTTTTTATTTATATATATATATATATATATATATATATATATATATATATATATATATATATATATATATATATATATATATGTATATATATATATATATATATATATATGTATATATATATATAGATATATATATATATATAGATGTATATATATATATAGATATATATATATATATAGATGTATATATATATATAGATGTATATATATATATATATAGATGTATATATATATATATATATATATATATATATATATATATATATATATATATATATATATATATATATATATATATATATATATATATATATATATATATATATATAGATGTATATATATATATATAGATGTATATATATATATATATATATATATATATATATATATATTAATAGAAAACAGACCAATTTTAGGTTTCCATTAAAATAACTTATTTCACCAGAGCCCTTTTAAAGGACTCTGAATCATCAGATAGCACTTCCAAAATATGAAACGAAACGAAATGAAATAAAAATTCATACTTTTGATGGGTAGTGTAAGTTTTTGTAATTTAACAGAGAGTGTAATGAGGAATGGTTTGAGAGACATGATCGAGTTTAGAGAGGGTTTATTAAATATTTCTTTCAATCATACTTAGTATTGGGGGAGGAGGGACCTGTTTAATCGGTTGACTTAACGGATATATATATATATATATGCAAGCCCCACACCAGTACATAGGATTTGATTATTATGGTGAAGGCTTTATGCAGAACCAACCACACTTGTTTGAAGACCGAATACAGAGACCTGGTCTACTATTGAATTCAGAGTTGACCTGCTCCTAGACCAGCTGCCATCGAAGGCTATAGAACCCAGTCTGTCCTGCTATTTACCCTTAGCTGGAGGGAGAAGAAGAGGATTATTAGTGCGTAATAATCGTAGCCGATATCCACTATTCCACCGTGACTCCTATATATATATATATATATATATATATATATATATATATATATATATATATATATAGTTTGAGCCTTTTATATTATATTCTTACTCTGTCCCGGGACATTGAGTTCTACCTGGATTCCTATCCTCTTGGGAATTTATATATATATATATATATATATATATATATATATATATAGATAGATAGATAGATAGAGAGAGAGAGAGAGAGAGAGAGAGACACAGGTTGTTTCATGCTAGACGCAATCGTCGTGGCCTGTGTATTGCGTCTAGCATGAAACAGCCTGTGTTGACTTCAATTTTCACTTTTATATTTACACACGCCCTATCTCTGATATTGGAGCACTTTATCCCATAAATATAGCACTCCTTAAGAGTATATTTCTTCATATATATATATATATTGACCACTAATATTATCTATCTATATCTATCTATCTATCTATATATTATTTCAATTATTATAATATAATTTCGTTCTCATCGTATAGATATATATATATATATATATATATATATATATATATATATGTATATATATATATATATATATATATATATATATATATATATATATATATATATATATATATATATATATATATATATATATATATATATATATATATATATATATATATATATATATATATATATATATATATATATATATATATATATATATATATATATATATATATATATATATATATATATATATATATATATATATGTATATGACTCCTTTCAATATATATATATATATATATATATGACTATAATCAATATATATATATATATATTATGATAACTACCACTTCTTTACAGAAGGCCATCTATTCAATGTTAAGCTATGCTCTTGCATACACTTATACATAAAAAAAAATTTTTTTTCAATTTCGTTAGGAAAATAGGATTCATTTTATTACCAGGGATTTTTTTCCTGACAGGATTAGACAAAACTATGAATAATTAAATAAATGCGAGAAGAGAATTTGCTCAAATACAGAACGGATAAAAAAGGATGCATCTCTTCCTTAAAATTGTTTCCAAACACGGAACAGTATATTAGGAATTATTATGTTCATTCCACAAATTCAGCCGATTTATAAAGTTATTAATGTTCAGAATCCTCCGGGAAATGAAATTTATTGAACATAGCGACAACCCATAGATCGTTTGAAAATTACGAAAACGACGCGCTATCTATCGGAGTTTTAATTAACTAACGGCAACCTTTGGCTTATCATTACGTTAGAAAATAAAAAATTTTCTATGTCGTATAATTAAGCATAAATCTTGAATATTTATTCATGACATTATTACATATGCAAATTAGACTCTTTCATATGAATGAATCGTTTATGAAAAGGAAAGTAGAACAATCGATTTTTAAACACAATACTATATCCTGTCATCGGAAATTTGATTCTATGCCACTTTTCCAACGTAATGCTCATTGAAATGCCCTATCTTAATAGGACACGTTGGTGGTGATTTTCTATACCTAGCTTAGATGTGGCACAAGGCCTAAAGTATGGGGGCACCGAGTGAGGATCGAACTCCCTATTTAGTCGTGATTGATCTAGCGAGACAAGTTTGCTATTAGACCACTTGGTATTTAGTCTATCTCTCCACTAAGACAAGTGGTGACAAGAGGTCTTTTTAAAGTGGGGACCCGAGCGTGTACACCCGGACCAGAAACAAAAATTGCCCGCAGCCCCCGCAGCCCCCGCTACTGTCGGTTGTGCTGGCCTCGGTGTGAGCACCGATCCCTCTCTCTGGTGCAATGAGAGGGAGCGGCCTCGGGCAGCTGTTCCCCATTTTTCTCAGTTGCGACTCTGCCTTTTGACTTTGGGTTTTGACGGAGTCGCCCCGGAGTGCTGTTAGATCAATTTGATGTGACTTTAGTGGTTTTCTAAGCTTAGTTTTGATGTGACTCAAGGCCGAAAGTGAGGATCGAACTCCCTAGTCTGGGAGAAGAACAACTATGAATTAAAAAGCGGTTAGGTGTAAGGGTATTAATCTCAGTCAGTTGTAACTACAACAGCGCGAACTAGCATGGTGTGGTTGTGATGCTATACTCCACAGAGAATCTACAGGTTCGAGAAGAATAATGTTTGTTTTGTTATTTTTTACAGTAATGTCCACCCTTTACAAGGCCCAGTGGCCACTCGAGGTAGAGGATTACAGTAAGAGTCCACTTGTATGTATAAGAGTGGAAGATTACGGTTAAGCCTAGCCTTGAACAAGTTAAGATTGTGATCGGAGAAACATCCTGTTGGAAGACCGTTCCACATGGTAGTGGTTCGCAGGAAGAAGCTGCTCGAGTGGAACTTACTTCTCATTGATGGAATACGGAGGGAATGTGGGTGGTTTGATAATATGTAAGTGGCATGATGTGCCCTTGCCGTGAAGGTTTGACTTAGCGGGACTAGGGAATCTAGTTCGTCCGAGAAAGTAACGGTAAAGCAGCGAAAGGCCTGCCACATCCCACCTGCAGGTGAGAGGTTGACGAGTGGAGAATAATTCGTCACCTACACAGACGCTTTTGAACTCTATCTAGGCTTGAGAGTATTTCTGGGCAGTACCCGGCAAAAAATGACAACAGTACTCTATCTGGCTCCTGACCATTTTTTAGACGCTAGAAAATTAATACCAGACCAGATAATTTGCCCTTTTTTAAATCTTTTATCCAGGTTGCAAAACTTAACAGGCTTACAAAGTTTATAGACACTTATGACAAGAATCAGTGAGGAAGGTCGAAAGGTTTTACTCACGCTCACCCAATATAAAGCCCAAGAGCCACTCGAAGTAGAGAGTTATCGTA